CATAAAAAAGTGAATGCTCTCCCCCAGTGCTTCTGCATTCATTCCCTTCAATTCATTCCCATTTTTCCCTTCAGTAAGGACTGTTAACAGCCTAGCCAATCCTCTTCAACAGCTGTCTCCATGATATGCAAACCTACATCAAACGTATGTATTTCATACTGTGACAGAAGTGGCATTTGCTTCATAAAAATTAGAAGAATTCTATATATTAATTTACAATGATGCATACAAGTCTAGATAAATAACTCAGACAACCTCATGATATTACTGAGCATAAATTTACTATAATTTATCTAACTATTTCGCTAGTGATGAACATTCAATTTTCTTAACATCCATATGCACGTATTCTTACTGGTACACATATTCACGTAACCCAAACTCCTAAAAGTGAGATGACTAAGTCATAGTTTTATATAGTTTCAATTATGGCACACTGATGGCTCCTGCCCATTTAATTTTTATATTTTGTTTTATACTCTGGGGATAATATAGGATATGCAATTTTTGAACCCCGTTCCCCCACTTAATTATTAAAGACATGCTTCAATGTACAACATACTTTATGAAGTAATTTAAATAGCTGCATATATCCATCAATAGTGCAAAGGTTCTTTAAATTTGTGAGTATTGCCTCTGTCAATGTTTACAAGGGAAGAATTTACATCTACTCCCCATTCCCCATAGTGTGTGCACAGGTATAAATCAAAGCTTTGCCAAGAGCGCAAGATACAATAAAATCTGTTACGTGCCTGCCTCTCAATCCTTAATCAGTTGGCATTAGTTAAGTTTTTTGATGAGCCCAAGAATTGATCAAATGATTCTCAGTTGGAGAACAATGCCTGAGGCCTGTGCTTCCATTATCCCTTGAATGACTTCCATCAAAGGAAAGAGATCATAGGATTCCGGGCATTTCCTGAGTATGGCGAGCCAACTTTCATGTGACTCTTGTAGCAAGAAAAGGGTTCATTTTAGATCAAAGGTAAATGAAGGCAAGCCAACCACAAAGGAATCCTCACACCCCACCCCAAGGACACTACTATACAGGTTAGCACAATTAGCATTACTTAAATTTGGAGTACATATAATCTTTCACAAAGGTTTGGGGATATGCTATAACCATCCTTGTCACCAAGATATGATAAAACCAGTTTTGTGGGAAGAATCATGGAAGAAAACTCTGGTTAGTCACCATCTAATAGAGTAAACTGTTTGATCATTCTGCTACCAGATAAGAAATTTCTCTGTGTGTTTTGTGGATAGAGGAGGTAAGAAAATTATAAAGCAAATGTTGATTTGGGTATGGATTAATAACTTTCATACCTTCCCACTATTTCCTGCACAGATGGTAATGATGTCTGTCTAGTCTTCTGAGGAGGAAAGGTAGATTTCACTTTTTCCTGGAAATTACTATTTGTCTGTAACATTAGAAGCTTCCAACCAGAAATGGGTGCTTACTTTTGCCAGAGTTAATCTCTTACTTGATCAATTAATGAGAGCTTTCAACAGTCTTACTCACATTACTTCAGTGAAATACCTAGGTATTATTTCCACAGGAAATAAATGTCTGTGGGCCATAAACTTAATCTGTTTAATAGTTAACTTGAGAGAAAAGTGGGAGTTGGGTTCAGATAAAGGGCCACTCTGCCATGATGGTAAAAGAGCTACACTCCCTGGGGGCTGCTAGTGACTGAGGCAGAGGTGGGGACCCTGTGGCACAGCGGGCACACACGGCCCTCTCTAATAGCACACCAGCCAAACAGTTCCAGCACACCGAAAGAAAAATTTTACCTTCCAATAAAAATCTGGTTCATCAAAAACTCTGTCATTGTGTTTTCTTTTAAGACAAAAGATGTTAATGTCTGAGTTTTCTTTCAGTTTGGAAACTGAGTTTACAGCCCTCAGGTTTAATTGCAGTATTAGAAGAACTCTGATAAACAAATGGGTTTGGAGTTGCAGCTTCAGTGCTCAATCTCTAATAAGTTCACCATCACTGGTTTCCAATGTCGCTTGGTATTGAATGGGAGGAGAACTGAAGGAGGGACAAAGGCAGCTAGAAGCAGGAGATTCTCCCTGCCTGATATCACCAGCTACAGAAAGGGACTGAAGTGTCTAGTATGGAAAGCATTCATGGTGACAGGAGGAAAGAGTGAAAGGGAAATGAGAGCACATACTACAGATCAAAGATCTCATCTGCAAAGCTTCCTCTTTCTTCAGTGGCTTTTAGAAAAAGGCCAAAGAGGGATAGTGTGTGGGTGTCCTAGAGAAAGGGCCCAGCGTAAGACCAGAGTGGGAAGGCAAGGGCCACCCCTCCCCTTCCCAACCTCTTCTTTTGCTCGCGGAGAAGTACAAAAAGGCTCTCAGTCAGGGAATCCCTCTGATTTTATATTTTCCATAATTTTATTGAGAAACAAATAGCAATGAGACAGTTTCAAATCAAATTGGTAGGACAGTTTCAATAATTAACACATTGTATACTGTCTTCCTAGTGGTTATTTGTTGTACAAGATGCAGACATAATATCCTATTTACAAACACTATTAGAACAAATCCCTCTATTCATTGAATTAAGAGAATGTAGCTATATTTCTATCCTAACCACTTTGAATACACAGATACAAAATGGTCATTCATCTGTATCCACTTTTTTTGTTTAGTTCCATCATTTAAATATTATAGGTGTGTGAACTCAGCAAAATATTCCAAAATAGTCCAGTAGTCCATAATAGTATTGGGTCTTCCACTTGACTGGCAATGTCAGAAGTTGTTGTCCTGAGTCCCCTACAGCTCAACATAATAGCATGGCTTTACTTTTTATACTTCATTTTTATACTTTTCTGCTGGATGGTTAAGATCAAAATAAAGCAAGATCTATGTAACAAGAATTGTAGCTTTTGTATCTGATAAGGTCAGTGAAATCCCCTCAAGATTTATCCTGAGACCCTGTACCTCAGTTTGTAGAACCTTTGTCAGTGTCAGCCATGTGAATGAGTCATGGCCATTGCTTGGCCAATTTGCTCTCTGTGAAAGTCTGAGAGAATGTTTTCTCTTTATGTGACTCTCCTTAGGCACACTCTACATCATTGATCACTTTCCTCTTTGGCCCCATAATCTCCTTGATCAGAAAATTTGGGATACAACTGAGTTACATGATGTTATAGTACAAGTTCTCATATGTCCTGAGTCTGAATTGACCTTGGAAGGCTAGGGTCAGAACTTTGGCTTTCCTTGCAGCCCTCCTTCTGATTTTAAAGACTGGCTCGTGAAACTACTCCTAAATGTTCCAATGAAGTTTGGGCCCCAAAAGTACAGGGAATACTAATTAATAATTGTACAGTGGGCCAAAGGAAAGGGTGGCTATTCACTGAGCTCAAGCTCCACTGGGTTCATGGTTATTTATCAGCAGAAAATGAATATCTTTGTGGGCTCACAAGTAATTGAGCATAAGACAGAGCTTTTACAATATTTTATAGAGGACAGGACAATGAAATAATTGTAGGTCAAGGAAGAAAAATTTATTATATATTAATGGATTTAATGCACAATTTTGGGATGAGGGGCACACACAATCCTAGAATTTGGTAGGATTTCTACAAGAACCCTTGGAGCTGCGCACAGTATTGTATGCCTTTGATCATAGCAGTTTGAGAGGCTGTGGAAGGGGGATCACATGTTTGAGTTCAGCCTTCGCAATTTAGTGACCCTAGGAGACCCCATCTCAAACTGAAATAAGTAGAAAGGACTGGGCCTTAACTCTGCAGAGCTTTCTGCCAAAGTTTTCTAAGTTTCCAGAGCCGATAGCGAGGAAGTATTATCTTCACTAAGGCTTTGTGATCTATGACATAAAATCTACAATTTTAGGAGTTTGCCAGTGAGACAGGTAGATTATTTACATTATGAAAATAGCAAGTCTGACCAAACTAAGACTGATTATAAAGTAAGGTGAGAACTATTTACCGTATTTTAAGAGAGCCACTCATTGGAAAATTAGGCTTTAGAGAAACTTATTCTAAGTGCACAGAAAGCTTTTAAAACTCCTGCCTCCTCTACAGATAATTTTTATCTCAAAAGTTACATATGAATCTTCTCTAACCTGTAAGAGACCATATATCACATTACAAACCATTCCCTAGGCAGACGTTGGCCATCTGCTGTTACAGGACTGCTGAACAGGAACATTCCCTACACAATGGCAGACAAAACCCTAAGCACCTGGCCATGATGGCTTAAAAATACAGTGGATATAGGCTTGGTACTCCTTTTTGAACTTACAAAAATTAGTTTCATGTAAAATTTTAAATTCCACAAACATATGAGGGAGATAGACTCCTTATCATTTTTCCATAAGAAATAATGTTGCCCCACCCACAGTAGCAACCCTTTAAGTGAAATCTAACTTTAGAATAGATACTGACTTCATACTTACTTCAGGGAACTAAACAGAAAACAGAGAAAAACCAAAATCTGACCCAACTTTCTTTAAATTAAACTGAATTACTTATGGTAAAAATATATTTTGCTATAAAATAATGGCACTTATGGGCCAGGGATATAACTCAGCTGCCTAGCACCTGTCTGGCAAACACAAGGTCCTGAGTTTAATTCCCAGTACCAAAAACAAATAGCACTTACAAAGGAAAATAAAACAAACAAGAACCTGTGACTGCAGACAAGAGTAAAAACACAGTGAACTTTGGGGATTCTGCTTGGAGAATCGCTACAATGATTCCAGCAGCACATACAGGAAAGTTTAAGTCAAGGAGCCAGGAAAATGGCCAGAAGCAGGGACCTGCAGCTACTTCTCCCTGCAGCTCCTGTCTCCTTACTCCCTGTGCTAAGCAACCATGGCAGCAACTTTAGAATATGCCAAAATAAATGGATAAATAAATAAACCAGAAAACATTTATGAAGTATTTCTTCCAGAAACAGCTATACCTCCTACCATCTCCATACTGCCCTGCACAACCACTACTTTTCTTGTTACTGGATGCGCTAACAGGTCAGTTACTTCCATTCCAATGTTCACTGCCCAGCCTCTGAAGACAAACACTCACACTGCACCCAAAGACAGAGCCAAGCATCTTAAACAAGCACTGACCTGGAGACGCCTGCTGCTGAGGCTGAGCTGGGGTCTTCCCTGGCCCCAAGCTCCTTTCCAGAGTCTCCCCAGGTACCAGCCGAGGTTGGCCTGCGCTGATGGAGGCTGGGCTGGCTCCTTCGGTCTCCGTGACCCTTTCAGAAGATGGTGGCTCCAATGTGTCAGAAAAGGAGGGCTCTGAGAAGATATCACTCTGTCTACCAGGAGAGTCATTAAGAGCCGCTTCTGTCTCTCCAGGCAGTGGAGGGAGCAGGAGGACCCTGTGGTGCTGTTGAGGGCTGGGACACCTTGGATGGAGAGGTGAGGGAGCAGGTGGCAGCTGCTTGTGTGGTGGCTGCTGGGATGAATTATTAAACCCCAGGCCAGGAGCTGCTGGGAGTGGGGGCGACTGCATCCTCTCATCACCTCTGCATTGTGAGGAGCCAGGATCTGCAGTGCAGGGTGGATCTGGAAACAAGGTTTTGTGGCCCCTCTGGGGTACCCCAGCTCTCCTCTTACTTCTGGTTTCTGGGAGGTCATGGGTGGCCCCGGTGTTGAGGGGGACACCCAGCCTCTTCCCTTTGGTGGCTTCATCCAACTTCTCACTCTCAATCACCTTCAGGAGGACCTTGTTCACAGCCCCGTCAGCACTGGCTGGTAACCTAGAAACAGAGGTGATTTCTCCGGCCAGCGGCTGCAGTGGCCTGGCCCCTTGCTGCTCCTTGCCCTGCGGCCCAGAGCTATGAGCCTCAGCCTTCGTTCCTGGGAGGGTGAGCAGGTCCACTTTGGGAATAAATTCAACTTTGACCTCTTGGTAAGCAGCAATTTCTTCCTCAACCTCAGGAGGCATGTTAACTACTCTTTGCACCTGAGTGGACAGATCCTGGACTTTGGCCACCACTCTGGAAACAGGTTTTCTCCTGCAGGTCTGCTCAGCCAATTTTCCCAGGCCAGCCCTCTGTGCTTCTGGATGCTTCTTAGCATCCTCCTGACTTTCAGGCAAACCTGTCTGTGGATGCTCCAGCCCGTGAGGCCTGCTGGGTGCATCTGGGACACCATCGCCTCCTGCTTCTGTGGAATGACTGTGAGCGGATGGTGTGCCTCTTCCAAGGGCAGGTTGCTCTGAGACCATCCCAGAGTTCGCAGAGCCCAGGTCTGCACCCGGTGTCCAGGGGATCTCTGTGGGGCAGCTTTCTCTCCTCTGCAGGGAACATGTAAGCACCCCATGTGGAGCCAAGTTTCCCCTTTCCTCTAGAAGCCGATGGTTAAGCGGGACTCCTGAAGGAGGAAGGCAATGGCTGGAACAGATCTGGCCCTTCCCCATCTGAGGAGTGGATTCCTGGCCTCCACGCCCTTTCCTTCTTGTTCGCTTCGGCACATCAAAGCTCTCTCTCCTTCCGCCAAGCCTCCGGGGCTTTCTGCTCCCGTGGGCACTCCTCTTATTGAGCGGGCCCACAGAGGGCTCCCTCCACAGATCCCCAGCGCCGTGGGAGCAGCTGTCCTCAGGCGCCAGTCTCACAGACAGCTCCAGCAGCTTCCCCTCCTCGTTCCCCATGGAAATGCCTAGGATGTGGTCCGAGCTCCGCAGATTGGCCAGCAATCGCTCCCTCTCTGCTGAGAGTTTGTATAGCTCAGTTAGAATGTCTTTCGTGGGAGTCTGCTTGAAAAATATGTCGCCTGGAAGTTCGTTCTGCTGCTGACTGAGGCTGACAGTGTCTGACCCCTCCCTGACTTGGTAGCAGTTATGAAAACCTTTATTGGATCTGTCTAGAATTACGGTGCCCTTGTATGAAAATCCTCTGACTTCCCCCTTTGGAAGACAGAAGCTGATGTAGCAGAGTTCTGTAATGGGTTTACGCAACTGCAGGGTGCAATGAGTGCCTTCCATTATGCCTACCTAATTATTCATGCCTTGGAGATGCTGGTCTGTGGTCAGGCTTCCCAGGCTCCAGCGGTGAGGCATGTGACGGTGACTATGCAGAGAAGGCAGCTGACAGTCATCTCCAGCAATGAACCAGCCTGTTAGAGGAATAGGGGAAGAAAGCAGCTGTTCTAACAGAGTGTATAAATCATATACCAATTTAAATCAAAGTATCACCACAGCTTGTCCTTCCTGTCTGGCTAACTTCAAGCAACTCAAGTCATCGGCCCACAGCCAGCTCCACTCTCCTCTCTGCTCCCTACTCCCATCTCACTCTGCGCTAGGTGGAGCCTTCCTACAACTGAGAGCCTGAGAGCCAGGGGCTGTTCTCTCTCCCCTATGGGGATTCACCCTGCAGGCTAGATCAGAGTTTACAATCCTCGGTCAAAGAGAGCCATCAAACTTCCCAAAAATCCGGAGGAAGTGACTGCGAGGTCCTTAGAAAGCATAACTGTCCAAATAACTTATGTTCACAATATTATTTTGGAAAGCCTTCATACCCCCCACAAAGCACCTTCTGAGATTTGAGATTCATTATCTTTTCAACTTAAAGAGCAGAATGAAAGAAAGGCCACTAACATAAAGTTAAAGTGAAATTTAAAAGTTTAAAATTTGAATGAGTAACTCAGGAGGACATTCAGCCAAGTTCTGCAAGGTTTGGTTTTGGTTTGATTTTTGTATCGTTTTTCTTTCTCTACTCACTCGCCTCTTTGCAGCCAAGTTCAGTGATGAAGAAAATGCTTCTGCGCTACGTGGGTTTTTAATGATTCACCAGAGAGGAGCTTGAAATGTCCCCAATTCAGGGAAGAGAGCTGTTTACTCTTATGATTTGAGGGGCGCAGAAATGGATAAAATTTACACACAGGGACATGAGGCATAAAATTCTGTATTATAGTACTTTATTTCTTAAATTCATGTATTTGTTACCTTCTAGTCTTCCTTGCTTAAAATAAATCCCTCTGGAATTGGTAACAGAATAACCATCTATTAGCCATTGTTATCTTCAATGAATTAATCTCAGATTTTTTTCTATCTAGTTAGAAAGATACATAAAAGTACAATCTGAATGAACAGAAATTTTGAATTATGAATTCCTTGAGGGAGACAAATAAAAGTAGTAATGATAAGATGACAGCTAAAAAAACCCAAGTCAACATCTGGTCGACACAGAGATGTCAGGAGGGCTCAGAGTTTATATAATTTCAAATAGGAATAATACTGCTTCTTTTTCCAAAAGCCACCTTGCCAAGAGACAGAATTCTTAAATATTGAATATATATTCACATGCGCTACCATTTTGTTTTCTCCTTTCTTTCTTTCTTTCTTTCTTTCTTTCTTTCTTTTTCTTTCTTTTTGTTTATTTTGCTTCTTTGATTGTTTGTTCTGAGGTAGTATCTCTGAATGTGGGCCAGGATAGCCCCAAACTCACAATCCCTCTTCAGCCTCCCTCTTGGCTGGGACTACAGTCTGCACCATCACACCCAGCTTAGAGGAACAAGAAAAGGAGACACACAGAAGAGATCAGAGGCCAGCACAGGCCTTGACATCCCTACATACATGTAAGACACTGTTCTCCTTCAGCTTGTCATGATTTTAAATCCTCTCCAAGGTGTTTATCATTGACACATCCTAAAGATGTTCATGTAGGCATCTTTGTGTGCATGATAATTATTGGTACAAACTCTCTGGATAGATGCAAGAACTCACTGGAAAGGTAGTGTTTTATTATGTGAGCTACAGAAATCAGGTATAAAAGTAATAGCAGAGCTGGCAGTGTCCACTGTGTATGATCCTGAGTACTTATGGTCAAGAGTTCAATTTAAGAATTACCAGCAAAACTGAATGGAAGCAACAGATGTGCTGTTCTGAACTGAGGCAAGACAGGATGCCCTCCTCTATCCTTGAGCATCATTCTTCTTTAGCTCCTGGGATCTCCTTGATTTCCCTGGGTTAGGGAATGTGCAATGTGAGGGGAAAAGTAGAGTAGGAATTTGTCAGAATCTATTTGAAGTAGCAATGCAAAGCACATGCCATAATTTCAAACAGGAAACAATTACATGTCCTAAAAGCTGGTTCCCTAAGAGGGAATTCTCATATCTGAAGTATACGTACACATACCTGTTCACTTTCTTACCTCATTTAATCAGCATATCATTGTTTTACAGATGAGGAAATTGAAATTAAGAGATATCTAAGAACTTCTCTAAGATGAGAGGGCTCAGAAGAGACAAGTTTCAAGGTTGGCTCTGTCTCCCTCCATTGCTACACAGGTGATACTACTCCTCATCTCGTCTCTTGCATTTTGTTGATGAACTGATTAACCAAGCAATTTGAAAAGGAATGTTCCTTTATTTTGTTAACATGGTGTTACATAAAGTGTCTCACATCTTGCTACTTATGACACTCATTGGATAGCTTCCGAATGTCTGGCTTAATTATTGCTTCCTAAGTTTATCCCTTAAACAATAAAGCTTAGGAAATGATACTAAAATTCACTGGGCCTGGGAGAAAGAACTGTAACTCTCAAGTAGAAGCAATGAAGAGTATGGAGCTAGAAATTAAGGAGAAGAGGACCCCTCTAAAGTTCAGGTGCTGTGTGAGATTTCAGATATTTGGTCCTTTATCATAGCATTAAAAAAGTTTTTCCAAGTCTTGGTTTTATTAATGGAGAAAAAGTCATACTACTCTGCTGTCAGTCACAGTTGGGAAACTCAAGCCAAGTTTTAAGAAATTCTGATGTTATATTTTATACCAATAAACCCATAAGGCAAGGTATGAAGCTGCTATTATGAAAAAAAATTCTTCTGAGTACTGCCTTAGCCACCCAGAAACTTCAATTTAGAACTCTCTTACCCTATTTGTCATACCTGTGACTGGAGTCAAGGAGGAAACTTAGTTAAGTAGTCCAACTTCTTACTATGCTCATTCTTATGTCTCTAAACTCTAGCTCAAAAATTTTGGCATCAGTCCATAGCTGATTTCTAAGATCAGAACCAACATCTTGGAGGTCATCAGCATATTAACCATGACTCAATGCTTCCATAACATGGGCACCCTCTCTTCCTCCTGTTCCTGATAGTAACAGGAGTGACATACAAAAAAACATAAATATCTTTCAAATTCTCTTATGCTCTCATTCTTTTCTGTGCTTAGAAAGTATTTTATCAGAATGGTAGTACACACCTTCACTGTCATCAGTGAATGTTTACAGAGCTGCCTCCCAAGCACGGAATAATTAAATTACTCTCTCACCACCAAAGAAAAGACTGTCCAGATTCAGCTATCAGCCTCCTTCTCCTGACATCTCTGCCAGTGTCTACATCTGTGCAAATGTACTTCAGGGCCCTCGCTCCCTCCCGAATTCCTGACCTTTGTGGAATGAGAAATAATAATTTTCTAAGTTTCCAAGTTACTAGCTAAAAATATTTGATTTTATTTACTAAACTGATATGAAGTCCCCAAAAATATTATATTGGGAGAAGAAAAACAAATGAATTTCGATCTCAAGCCTGTAAGAGCCACGTGAGAAGAAAATGTTAGACAAGTGCTTGGCTACAGGGCTGAATCACCATATGTTCTGTATAAAACACTAGTGGGAGGGCTGGCAAAACAGCTCAGTGGATTAAAACACCTGCAAGCAGGCTTAGGAACCAGGGGTTCAATTCTTGGGCCTGCTGTGCCAGCCCTGCTCCTGGGGTGAGCTGAGATGGTAATTGAGAATGGATGTGGTGGTGAGCACCTATAATCCCAGCTCTTGGAAGGCTATAAACAGGCGGATCAGTATGAATCCAATATACTAGTGAGACCCTAAACATCCTGTAGACCCTCCCTTATAATAAAAAAAATAATAAAACACCAGTGGGAAATGATGTGGAAGCCTTAGGAGAATAAAGCAAAGTAGAAAAGCAGTGCAGAGTGGGTTAAGCACACCAGCAGCACCATCTCATGCTGAGGCACATAGCCATTCCAAGCAGCACCTCCTCATTCTGCTTTGGCTCCAGGGCACCAGTTCTGCTTGACCCACACATCAAACACATCAATTTCATCTGTGAAGTGACCTTCTCTGCTCATGTGCAACATAAAAGCCCTTTGTTTCCTGCGAGTCTTCATGTCTTCAGTTTCCTCTCACAAACTCCAGGCTGACATTCTCTTCACAATGACACTGCTGGGGCGATTTATTCCTGGATTCCTTGGCCAATAAGCAAGAAGATTATCCAAAATGGAAATGCCCAGAATGGAAATATCTGTTGTGCTTCATAATAATTGGAAATGATTGCCCTTTAGTAGATGCTATCCAATGTTCATAACATACTCACAAGGGCCTAAAATAAGATCTCAGAATTAGCTGCAGTTGTGCTGTCTGCTGGCTGCAAATTTCCTGACTCTGGCCCTGAATGGCCAAGGCAAGGCTTTCTCTGTTCAGTTAGTGCACCATCATGTGCCCTATGACTTCATCAAGCCCAACAGACAGATACTGACATAGATTACCTGTGACTCATATCACTGAACTGTAAGTTTTCTATCTGTCCATTTGTAGTCATGCTTTACCCTCTAACATCATTCTAAACATCAGGAGACTGACTTCTGCAGATTCACTCAACATGGTTCTTGCAATCGGGCATCTACTGCGTTTTACCATGAGAGACAGTGACAGCAGACCCCAGAGCATAATACAGAGGGGCTAGGATCTCTATTTCCTGGATCCCTTCATCTTGGACTCTGGTTTGCTGTACCTGTTCCCTCTAATGACTACCACAGCTCTTCTTGGGTAGCCCCTCTACCTGTAGCTGCTTTCTTTGTGTACCTATTACTGGCCACTCCCCTCACATACACAGTCCTAGGCAACTTCACATTTTGCCTCTCTTGTGATTAGAACAAGTTAGTGCCTGCTAGCTCCTTTCCATCCATCCCCTGGGATGAAGCGTTGTTTTTAAAATAGGAGATTTTAAAAACAAAGGAAGGTCTATAATAGCTTTCTGAATCTTCTCCTTGAAGAATTTTCTTCATCAAAGAACATGAACACAGGTCTAGTTTTAGTCCTTGTCATGTGGAAAACCAGTTTTTCCAAAACCATTTACTAAAGAGATTATCTTTCTTCCAATGAATGTTTGGGCCTTTTGTCAAAGATAAACTGGCTGAGTATTTGAAGTTATTTATGCATCTTCTCATCTATTCCATTGATTCTCAGATCTCTTTCTTTTTGCCAACACCATACAGTTTTTATCACAGTATGTTGTAGTAGTTAAATCAGGAACTGTGATACCTCCAACCTTGCTTTTTCTTGCTTAGAATTGTTTTTGCTATTCTAAGTCTCTTCCAGCTCCAAATGAATGCTAGGATTGTTTTCTCTAATTCAGTGAGGTATACTAATGGTATTTTGACTGGGATTGCATTAAATCTATATAACAATTTTTGGGAGTATGGCCATTTTTATTATTTTGTTTCTTCCTGCCCAAAAGCAAGGGATGTCTTTCCATTTTCTGATAACTTTGATCTCCTTTTCCATAGTACTGATGAATGGATTTTAAAAATGTGTTTTTTAAATACAACAGAATGTTATTCAGCTATAAAAAAGGATAAATTTGAGACATTTAGAGCTAAATATAAGGACCTTGAGGCCATACTCTTAAAGGAAATATTTGGGCACATATGTACATATTGCATTGTCTCACTAATGTGAGAAACTGAACATGTAAATACGGACCAACATATATAATAGATATTGTAAAATAGGAAGAACATGTTCAAAAGGAAAGGGGGATCAGGGGAAGCAAAAAGAAAAAAAACAAGAAAAAAGGATAAAATGGAAACAAAGCTATGTAAATAAGGAGGGGAAGAGAACTGAGGGCTGAAGGTAAAGAAGGGAATGTGAAAAAGAATTAAAGTGTATCATATATATATATATATATATATATATATTTCCTATGATGAACATGATCATTATGTGTATCTAAATTGTACCAATA